AGAACTGCAACCTACTCTGGAGTCTCCAGAAGTGCAAGGTGTCAAGTTCTCAGAGACTTTGCTTGGGTAAAAAAAATCCTAAAAAAATGACCCTCACTTAATAAGAATCACATGTACCACTGTTTGAAGAATTTCAGTTTGTTCGAAGGAGATCCCCCCCTCACAATGTAGAGCGCTTTGAGTGGTTAGAAAAGCAGAAAAGCGCTATATAAATGTAATGAATTTTAATTTATCTTCCCGAATCTGGCAGTAAGTTGTGGAAGTTCATTTTTAGTCCATCTCTGCAAGACAGACTTTTCAGGATAGGAGATTAGGAGAATATCAACTTGCCTAATAATTATGCATGCACTATATATACAGTATATATATATATATACTGTATATATAGTGCATGCATAATTATTAGGCAAGTTGATATTCTCCTAATCTCCTATCCTGAAAAGTCTGTCTTGCAGAGATGGACTAAAAATGAACTCCCACAACTTACTGCCAGATTCTGGAAGATAAATTAAAATTCATTACATTTATATAGCGCTTTTCTGCTTTTCTAACCACTCAAAGCGCTCTACATTGTGAGGGGGGGATCTCCTTCGAACAAATTGAAATTCTTCAAACAGTGGTACATGTGATTCTTATTAAGTGAGGGTCATTTTTTTAGGATTTTTTTTACCCAAGCAAAGTCTCTGAGAACTTGACACCTTGCACTTCTGGAGACTCCAGAGTAGGTTGCAGTTCTGGAAAATGGTGGCGCTGGAGACCAAATGGTTCCTGATGGTTTCACACCTAATTCTTCAAGTTTTTTTCTGATCCAACTGAGCCAAAGAGCATTTTGCTGTCCAATGGTTATGCCTTAAATTTGCCTTTACTGTATTGCATTAGTTTTTAATAGAGATCCATGGACCTGTAAACTTTCAAAATTTTCCTCACAAACCTCTTATCCTGAAGCTCATGCAGACAGTGGAGAGCAAATAACTAAATTCCATACTGCTGTATCATCAAAACAATAGCTCTCTTGAGTGTTTTTCTCATTTCTTTTTTCTTCAGTTTAATGGTGTGAGGAACAGTCCACACAATCTTTTCAAGAATTGAGCTGCTCACCTCTTCATTTAAAAGACCATAGAGGAACAGTATAACTGGAGGCATGGGATTTGATCTTCTTTCTCTCAAATCTGGAGATGGCCTGTCAATTATAGCCTCCCATTCCATCAAGTTAAACAGCTCACTAACTTTTAAGCAGTGCTCTTTTTCATCCAGTAAAACATAAAGAGCAGTGAAGAACTCCTGAAAGCTGAAATGGATCAACTTGAACACTAGCACTTGTTTGTCTTTTCTTTTCTAACTGCCTTTATACAAAAACAGCCAAATGGAGGCATTTAAGCCAGTCTCAGCAACAGGCATTTCATCAAAAAGACTTGCTGATTTTGTATTCCTCTCTCTGCCAGCAGACCCAGACTCCTCAGCATGGTGAGGACAGACCGACTCTGGTCATAATGCTCCAGTAGAGTGGACACAAACTGCACATAGGCTATATGGAGGTGGTTGTCTTTAGTTCTCTCATCACATGATCACCATCTGTAAAGTGTTTCTTCAGATAAAAATAGACCATCCAACACAGCAAAGGCACAGAGCAGGCAGTCAGGAGGCTTTCATTTATCTTCACTCTCTCATATGTTTTCCTGAAGAGCTGCTCATCCTGAACGAACTTCTGGAAGTACTCCTGTACCCCTCTCTCAGAGAAGCTCACAATCTCAGTGAAACGCTGAGGACCCTTGATGAGATTCATCACTGTACCAGCATCTGATCTGGTGGTAACCAGCAGGAAAGACTCAGGCAGCAAGATTCCCCTCAACAGGTTCCTAAGAATGACCATAGGTGGCGCTCTCTTGGATGGATTAGTGTATAGTAATATGAAATGAACGGTGGATGAGATACATACTCATCAGTTCCATCAGTGAGGATGAGGACTTTCTCTGTTGTTAAATCTAGTATTTGTGAGATGTGATCCAATGTTAAACTGCAACTCCAGCTCAAGAGCTCGAATAAGCTAATTTCCTCAGAAATACACATCAGCTCTTCACTCTTCAAAAGAAAAACTACATCAAATTTTTCAGAGTAAAGTTCTCCAGAAGCCCAGTCCAACATGATCTTCTGTAACATGAAGGATTTCCCTCTTCCAGAATCTCCACTGAGAATCAGTTTTCTGTGTTTTTCCATCAGTCGGGACTGAACAGCTGGTCTATTCTGATGCTGTGATTCTTGTCATTTGGTAAGAGCCGAGATGGTGGTTTTGATCCAGAAGTGTGCACAGACCTCACGTTGACGACAGATTTTCTCAGTTTGCTCTTTGCTCTTCTGAATGATCACTGGTTCAGTGTAATGAGCAGCCAGATCCACACGTTCATTAGATGGAAGATTACACTCTGTCACAAACTTACAGCTGTCAATGATGGAAGTCTTGTACTGAAGAATCTCAGGGCTCTGATCTACAGAAACATAAAACAGTCATTAAATAACAATAAATACATTTAAAAATCCTAAATTAGATAGAGTGTAGCTCTCAGGGAGAGAGTAGGTTTGCAGCAGTAGAATTTTATTTACAAAAATGGAGAACTCAAGATCAGGTGAAGATGTTGGCTAGAAGTGTCAAGGGGGAGACAGGAAACTTTACAGAGGCATGGGAGAAACCGGAGTAAGCAGGCTGGGTTTTTTGCTGACTGCAAAAACTTTTTGGGACCAGAGACTTCATTAAATTGGAGGGTGGGGACTGGTTCCCAGGCAATCAGGTCAATCAGTAATTCCTCCAATGCCAGTTCCAGCTTGGGGTTCATGCATGGCAACTGGCATTGACTCGGGCAGGAATGAGCACAGAAGGGGTGAAGTAGGCATCCTCCTGAAGGGTTAGGATGTTTCCTCTGTTAGGGAGGAAATGCTCAGCCACAACGCATACTCAGTGTATTGGAGTATTGAGCAACTGGAATCTTCTATGGACATTGTTTGGAGGAGGCGATTGTCTAGCCTGCTCAAGAAGCACATCTTTAATGTGCCCTCAATCCAGGGAACCAGTTCTAAACAGTCCTCCACAAAATTCATGTCCTCAGTGTTCCCTTGATACAGGGACAGGAGTTGGTACTCCTGCTGCTAGATCCATAAGTATTTGTGGTTGGTTCCTCAAACAGTGACAATAACCAACCAACCAACTCAAGATACAAACACAGAGCAATATGGGAAAACTAACAACAAAAGACGACACAGGTGAATAACAAAGTGAACATGGAAACTAACTAGGAGATGTAGATATTATCTTAAAGCATCTGCTAAGATGTACAAAAAGGCCTAGCAACACATCAATCACTAAAACAATATTATAGTAATATTAATTATTGATATTAATAGAAAAAAAGTGGAGTTTTTAATACTGAGCTGGTCATTAGGCTGATTTTAGTTTCAACTGGTTGTCTTTGTAAAAAGGAAGTAGGTATGCTGTTGCCAGGTCTGTGTGAGTTTTTCATTTCCATTCAAACCAAGTTCTTGTACCAAATCAAACTGAAATAAAATCTACAAAGTCTCTAGTATCCAATGTATAATCAAAAGGTATGGTCAAAAAACAACCTCAATTAATGCAAAAAGAATCCAAAGAAGAAAGCTTTACTGTTATTCAAACACACTTTGGTCAAAGCTAGTTTTATTATGATTATTATTAATCAGAATATTTTTAAATTATACACCATATGTACTGTATGACAAACATAGATTTACAAAGCCCATTATGAAGGCAGCACTAAAGTCTGATTTTGTGGTGGATGTGTTCAAATTTTATCATCTTAATTGAAGTGAAGGATTTTAAAAGTCTGACAGTAATCAGTGTTGAGCACTACTGTACGGTTAACCCTGCATGGTGTAAATGTTTGAAAATGATTAACATTTGAAAACATTCATTAGAAAAGTAATCAAAAGTATGTAACGAATCAGCTCATGGAAAATATGAATAATTAACCATAACCGATTCTTAGTTCAAACACACCTTTGTATTAGAAGGTGTAACTGATACTTAATATATCAATTAATAAGACTAAGTTTGATACTTGCAAGTCTCGTCTGTCTGAAAATAGATTCCTGATGCAATCTTAAGGCCCAAGATCTTGCTGAAGTTGGTTGATGAGAAAGAACCAGTTTGCGTCAGAGTAACTTGATGAATGGAAAGGACAAGGCCGAAACCTGGCACGTAACTTGGGATGTTCTGGAGCGTTGGAACTCACATCTTATCGGAACCTAGCAGGACCACCGACTGGGCGGGTCACATGAAGTGTGGCCTTTAAAGCCTGCAAAGATTCACGCCTCTCAAGATGGGCTTGTCCAATGAGGACGTCCGGAATCTCAAGTGGGAGTTCTGAGATACTGGGGCGTTTTATGGCCCTTTTTGAAAGCATGGTAATTTGCATATGAAGCTTGTGTAAAAATTATTAAAGACTCTTAGAACACTAATATGTTGCGTAGGTGTAAACATACAATATACACTCTCAATTAGATCATCCGAATACGAATTCATAGATACTAGACATGGTAGAGTTACTTATAGTGAAAGGATGACAGGAATGGGTTCCCTCACAAGCATGCCTAAAATAGTCTAAAAATATCAAAGACAAAATACACGATGACAATAATATACCCAATGACCTGAAGGATCATGTGTGTTCATTCAAAGAAAGGTTTTCCTATTAATTAATTAGCAAAGAAAAGTCCTTCCCTTGTGGATTTTCCTTATGGGCAAGGAAGCGATTTTCTTCACCTAAATTCCAGGAGGTCGTAAATGTATCGGGTGTCAGCATTGCTTATGGAACCAGGGGCCTGTTCAGCTTCCTGGGGGGTTACAGAGTATTTGTTAAATCTAGCTAACAAAATATATATTGTGTGTTTGAGTGGTCCAGACGTTACAAGTAATCAGTTACATTACTTTAATAAAGTAATTAAGTTACACTACTATTACATTTTAAATAGGGTAACTTGTAATCTGTAACCTACTATATTACATTTCCAAAGTAACCTTCCCAACACTGAATACAATGTAGAATCATCAAGCAAAAAAGGTTAAGAGTCAGGTAAAGGCAGATGGCTTAAAAGGCAGATGATCTTCTAGAAGAATCACTGTCACTACCTTTACGCACTATGCTGCAGATCCTTCTCATGCTGGCTTTACTGGTTAAATTATAACGTGTGATTTCAGAATATATTTCATTGTTTGTCTGCAATGGCGTTAACGTTCTTAACGCTTTTAATAAGATAACACCAATAAATAAAAATATATTAAAAAAAACAACTTTATCAAAGTTGAAGCCATTCGTGGTGTCTTATGCTTTTGTCCAGTTTGAAACAAAGTCTCAGCCCTGTTTGGATGCACATTGATAAATTTTTTGACATTGAAAAAAATCCTATCAGTTTTCTAAAAAACTTTGAACTCCTTTAACTGCATTTTTAGCATTCATTCATGTTCAAGTGGCTGCATCTTGCATCTGTTGTCTTTTCACGTCTGTTTCTGTGTCATAGTTGCAGGGGTCGTCTTCTGTTTCTTGAGTGCAGGGGTCTTCATTCTTGAAGAAAAAAAATTAGATTACCAACTTTTAAGACTACTCTAAGCAGTTTATCCAACCAGCACCTCAACTCTCTCTCTCTCTGTGTGTAAGTGAATGTTGGTTCACGAGTTCACACTTACTTATAATGAACCGAGTAAAGTTTATGCGTATTTGGCGTGCTGTCCGGGGAGAGGGCTCCGAGCTCGGTAATTACTCTCGAGCCCGGGGTACTCCCCCTGGCCGGGGAGAGGGGTCCGAGCTCGGGATTAAGCCCGGACCCAAAATGCTCCCCCCCTAGTGTTCCTCCCCGTGCTGGGGTAGGAACGGGCTGAAGGTGAGGAGTCGGGGTGGTGGAGGGATGCTAAGGACGGGAGATAATGGAGGTAAGGCTGCTTTGATTATTTATAGAGGTTCTCTCTTGAGCTGATTGGATAGATGGTGTAATTACTGATAATGAACTGGCCGTGTTAATTATCTGTGCGCGCTCCTCCCGAAACTTGTTAATAAAACATCACAAAGTATTCCAGGTGTACATCTAGATATGCAGGAAAGTCATTATTTGTGTGTCATTTGTATGTGCATGTTATGTAGCTTATGTGCGAGTGATAGAGAGAAGGTAATAGAGAAGGAAATTAGTCAACATTTACTTAAAAAGGGGAGATACCTGACTATTGAAAGGGTTTCTATTAATCCATAAAATTACAATTTTGTTATGTTACGGCAAGCTTTTACATCAATGTTGTGATAATGAGAGCATGCTGGGGGACATGTTGCTGCTTTTTTTCCAGGAAGGATGAGATATTGAGCATGTGTGTAGTATGCATATGCAGTATCATTACTGTAGCTCATTCCTGATAGAAGGAATAAGCTAAGTTGCAACTGCCCATTGTCGCAACCGTTTCCACTCTCCCTCTACTTATTGGTGTGTTCTAAACTTTAATCTCAAAATACATTTGACTAAATAATATATTTATGCAGCTTTTTGCACTACAGGAATGCACAATACTGTCTGCTGAGCACCCAGGACAGAATATCAGCAATCTGTACAAAATTACAAATTAGCTTTGGTCTTAAGCTAAAACATTACTGCAAGTGTTTGACATATATACTAAAACAGTATATAATATGCAAATGACAAAAGGGTGCACTTACGGTGTAGCCGATTCTTCAGATATAGGCTGCTCATGTTTTCAGTTGTCACCACCTGTTACCATCAAACGCAGGACAGGTTATATTAGTGTATCATACAGGTAGGTTTAGGTTTATAAACTTATTTAATTAACACCAACTGTAGATTCTCTTACCCAGGTTTCTGAAGAGGGCTGGTTCATGATTTCTCAGAGCATAATAAAAGGCATTTTTCACTTGGTCATCTCCAGAATTCAGTACTTCAAAGAGCTTTCTCATCTTGCCCTGGTTGGTTTGTTCTGCCACGATCCCTGAATATTTTTCATCATGTATCATACCCCTATTTTTTAGTTCATCTGCTAATGCCATCACTGAGGTAACCCTCTGAATAAGTGCTGCATAGTTCCCATCCACAAATTGGGTCTCTAGAAAAAAAAAAAAGAAAGAAAATGAAATGCGTTTCATTGGAACTTTTACTCATCATGCAAATCATGCAACTTTTTACATGAACGTAATATTATAATAACTCAAGTTGGTGTACAAGGCATAACAGAAAATAATAATAAAAAAAAAAACGAGATCCGAGATCTCAAAAATACCCAAGACATGTGCATCATCTCCCACTCAGGCTTTTCTATTTACATTTCTTTATGCAAGTACTCTTTTGAGCAAACAGTCCTGTTCTCAAACAAGCCAAACTGACCTGAGCAGAACAGAGTAAAGTAGCCTTTGCTTAATGACATTTTTCTACTATACTACAGGAGCATGCATCATCTGAGAACTGGTGTCTACACCATTTACGTCAATTCACATACAAACATTGTTTATCCTAATAGCAGAGACAGCTGAAAAACTTCTCCAAAACTATAAGGACAGACAGACAGATATAACCTTTGGGTGGATTCCGCTCCTTTTCTTCATGGCTGCGCTCACCTAACCTGCGAAACCCACAAATATAAAATACAAAAAATCATCTATTAAGATTTTAATTAGTGTGAAGTTGTTGAGATCTACTAATTTCAACGCTTTGCTGTCCCACATAAATGAGGCGAGTTCCAATTGGAGAAAACAACATAAACTTAAGGTAAAGCACAATATGATGGTCCAAGTTGCAAACCCATCTGACAATACAGTGTGATTAATGCATGCCATGTTTTATCAGCGTTTTATCCAGTGCCCACAAATAGGGTACAATCATTTATCTTTTTGAAAAGAAATTAAACAATTATTTTTTTTTTTACCTAAACCATGATGAACTGGGTGATACATTAAAATGAAGTTAAACACTGCAGTTCAACACCTGTAGTTTTTAAATTAATATATTTTCAGTTCAGTTCACATATCAGTTCTATCTTACATTTTATAACTAAATAGCAACGTTATTGGCATCTTTTCAAAGATAACTAACATGATTTCATGATACAGTATGTTGGCTGGCTATCGAGAAGAATTGAGCATCTGCAATCATACCACTTGAATACACTGTAGTTCTCATACTATCCTGACTGGTCAAGCTATTCTGTTCAGTTTATCTGCAATGCTCTTCACATGTTTAGCCTTTTTTTAGTCTTTTGTATGAGAGATTATCAGTGTTTAAAAAAAAAAAAAAAAAAAAAAAAACACTTTATCAATATCAGAATTCCGTTGCGGCTCATCTTGGACTTACATTGAATTTAACTGGCCACATTCTTCTTTCCATATTGTGGCAGTCCACACAGACTTCCTGTCCACCTCTCTGATAAGATTCATTTTTATGTGACCATCCTGATGTTGCCTGACCTTGAAGAAGTTTGGGTCAATATCAGTTCTAAATGAAATCCCCTCTACGGGATGGACAGATGCACCAGGAACCTCAAGAAGGTGAGGTGTTTTCAACCGAAATGGTCTGTCAGGTCTGGGATGGCTAATCAAAAGACTTGATTTTTCATGCTGCTCAACTTTTTCTTTTGAACAAGTGTCATTCATTGGAAAAAAGTAGATGTGAAGAAAGAGAGGCTCTTTACACCGCATGTAGAGAAGAAGATCACAGTGTTCTTCCCACTTTATGAACCAGCTTATGATTAGAGTTATGAGAGAGAAGGATGGTTGGACCATTTTGGCATGATAACAGGTCAGCTCTACAGATTGTAAAGATATTCCTTCATCACGTTTGGCGAGGAGCTTCACAGCCTCTGTGAGAGAGGGGTCTGACTCTGCCAAACAGGCGTAATGAGGCAGATGGGCCTCCTCCAGTTTCCCTGAGATCACGGTCACATTAACCACAGGACCAATTCGCTCACACTGAAGACTCTCCAGATCTGCTCTGAGGGAACGTCCATCCACTGCACGGTACTGGAGAGTGACGTCACCAGCACAGACCCATCGCATTCTGGTCCTGCTGCACTCGAATCGACCCGCCGGAGTGCTGATTCTGAACTCTGACCCTCCTTCATCTGTACAGACTGACGGCTCCACCTGAACCCACTGATCAGAGTCAACAATGTGAACACAAGACTGACACACTGGGAGTGGCTGAAGATTCAGTCCAGATTGTTCAGAGTCAGAGATGGTTGGCCTACAGACAGAATGAAATATATACAGTGGCAACAAAAAGCATTTGGACATTTTTAGATTAGATCAATTTAGATTAGATTTTAGGTTAGATCTTGCCGACAAGCTGTCAGAATTGAATTAGATCCTGACAGTTAAAGGAAATATCTGAATTCCATTGCATAAGAAAAAAATATATATATTTAAAGATATGGCATCTGAAAACAAACGATGATAAAGCTAGAAAAGCAATTTTTGTATCAGTAAATGCATAAAAAGTTAAATCCACAGATATTGAGCACATACATACCCTTCAATGATCACAGAGCAGTGTGAATCTGTCAGTGATTCATACAGTAACTCGAGTCCCACCTCCAGCAGCAAACCAGTGGCACGGACACTACAATACAACATTTTAGCAATGTAATCAAAGACAAATAAGCAAACAGTTGTCACGATAATCAGAGCTGGTCCAGACATTATCATGAAGATTATAGATTGGCGTCCCCCCACCCAAAATCTCACACTGGAATCAAACTGGCAACACACTGGACTCAAATTTACTGCAGAAAAATAAAGCATTTAAAATTTATTATAAAATGTAAATATGAGGTAAATAATGTATGACAAATAAATTTAGCAAACACAAGACCAAGAACTAAACAAAATATAAACAGGCAAAATTGTACTCCACTATTGGTAAATTTTGAAACACCAAAGCGCAAACATTGTAAGTTAGTGCCATCCATGTTTCACTAGAATATCTATGCAAAAAAACTGCACATCTTCAGGAAATTCAGAAGAAAACTGGTAGCCAGAGAGAACACTCAGAAATGCAGTGCAACAACATGCAAGACATCACAGAGAATGTGTGAAAACACAGAAGGAAAACACAGGCCTTATACAGGCAAAGTTAACAAGGTTAATGAGAAACAGCTTAAAGTATTTAGGCATAGTAAGTCATAATAAGCAATGGATTATTGGAAATGCAGTCCATGATGAGATAAAGACAGGAGTGCCCTCTGGTGGCTATCAAAGGCAATCCAACTGGCAGACGTGACAGGACACAACACATTCTGTAGAAATTATGAAACATATTTGGCAAGCCAATCACTCATAATGGAGTAATTCAACATTGACTGGCTTTGTACCACGTCTCAGTCTTACCAGATTTCTTGCAGACTGCTGCAAGCCTGGATGAGAGCGAGAATCCTGAGAGCCCAGCTCTGATTCAGACTGAAGATGATCAGCTCCACACTCTTCAGATCACACACAGAGAGCAGGAAAGTAAACAGAGCATCCGCTTGCTCATTACACTCTGGAGAACTGCAAGAAGCACATAAATATAACTATATAAAAATCATGTCAAACACAAGTGACCAAATATCTTAACTAGTCATTTAACACTTGCCTAGTGCGTTACCTAACTGTTTTCCACTCACATTTTAAACAGAAATAAATTAATAGTGAGGCATTTACTGTAAAATGTTGTACATGCACATCATGGCTAGTAGGGGTGTCAATTGGACGTTTCATCACAGTATGATATAATATCGATTCTCATACCCAGTGATACGATATTTACAGATACCTCAAAAAAGTCTAAGAGACAATTACCATATGATTCGATTCAGAAGTATATTGATCGATGTATTGATATTATATGCCTATTTTACACAAACAGTTACAGTTTTATTAACTCACAAATGCATCCAAAATATATAACATGAATGTATGAAAGCCCAACGATGCCACCCAGAGGTATCTTTATGTCTATAACCTTTTAAGGCTTGGAAAAGGCTGAAGAAGTCAAAACATGCCCGGAAAAGTATCAGGAGGCAGTCTATACAGTGGTGTGAAAAAGTTTTGGCCCCCTTCCTGTTTTTTTTTAAATTTTTTAATATGTTTTTTGCATATTTGTCACACTTAAAAGATTCAGATCATCAAACAAATTTTTATATTACACAAAGATAATGCAAGTAAATACAAAATGCAGTTTTTAAATGATTATTTATTTTATTAAGGTGAAAAAGCGGTCCAAACCTGCCTGGCACTACGTGAAAAAGTAATTGCCCCCTAAATCTAATAACTGGTTGTGCCACGCTTTGCAGCAACAACTGCAATCAAGTGTTTGCGATAACTGGCAATTAACTCCGCTTTCTAAAATAATGTGGTTAATTGCAGTTCTTTCATGGTTTAACAGGAGGGGGCAATTAATTTTTCAGTCACGTAGGTTTGGACAGCTTTTTTCCCTTAATAAATGAAATCATCATTTAAAAACTGCATTTTGTATTTACTTGCATTATCTTTGTGTAATATTTAAATTTGTTTGATGATCCGAAACATTAAAGTGTGAAAAACATGCCAAAAAATAAGAAATCAGGAAGGGGGCCAACACTTTTTCACACCACTGTATGTATGGGTGGATAGATTGATTTGTTCATTGTGCAAGAAAATGGACTACAGCATGTTTGTTTCTTCTGTGAGTGATTGATTAAAAAGTAAGTTATCCGTTTTATAGTCTATGCTTGTTCAATACTGCTTAACTGTGAATGTTTCACTGCATAATTGATATTCCTAAGCTAAAATTGTACACCTTTTTACAGTACATATTTAAATGATAAACACTTTGCCAAAATAATGCAGCTATTTAAATGTAACTTGAATGCCTTTATTACCTGATATTTGATACTGTTATTTACTGCCACTGCTGCTGTGTGTAATGTTTATTTCTTTATGCTAGCCATATTATTGTTTATATTACAAATTTTACAATGTATTCTGTTTTCTCTGTTCATTGTAGACCACACACACCCACATGCATCCCTTATGGGCAAGTGCCTGTAACAATTCAAACATGCAAGGATAATTCAAATAAAATCCTTCAATTGGGACCTGCTCTCTTTCTAACGTTTCTCTAACCGGAAACTCCCCTCACCATTTCTACTTGTACCTAACCGAACCCTTGAGCGTCCCATACGCTCGTACAATGAACATTTATGGACTATTTTGATGATGTCTTTCATACTTTTCTGAGCCTTGACATTGTAATTTACTTGGCAGTCAATGGGACAGTCAAGCCTCCCGGTTTTCATTCAAAATATCTTAAATTGTGTTCCGAAGACGAACGAAGCTTTTACGGGTTTGGAACGACATGGGGTGATTAATTAAGTGATTAATGACAAAATTTTCATTTTGGGGTGGAGTAACCCTTTAAAGGGGTAGTTCACCCAAAAATTTAAATTCTGTTATTAATTACTCACCCTCGCGTCGTTCCAATCCAAACCCGTAAGAGATTTTCGTTCATCTTCGGAACACAATTTAAGATACGTTTGATGGAATCTGATTCTGAAAGCTCTCGGACCCTCCATAGACAGCAATGATATTACCACGATCAACGAACAGAAGC